TAGGCTCTGATGGTCAGAGCACCAGATCGTTCAGCCACTGGATGAAATCATTCTTATTGTCGGGCAAAAAGATTGGCCCACTAGAGTTTATTGGGAACTCAGTAGTTGCCAGTAAACCTCATTTATCACATTTATATAATACCGAAGAACATCTGTGTGAACGTAAGTTATGATGACCCAATTTTAACACGTTGGTGACCGCGCATATTTTACGTTTTGCGGCCGCTTAGGACTTCAGTGAAATCTTTAGGAGTTCTATTGAGCAAACTAAAAAGAAAAGCCTACTGCATGACGCAAAATAAACTTTATAGAAAGAAAATGGGAAAGAAAAAACAAGAAAAACCCAATATTCATCTTCAAAATGTAGGCCACAAGGTCCGACGCCTACGCGGTCGAAGACGAAAGCCCTTATTGGGCCGCACGGGCTCCGAAAGGTGTTAAGCAAGTCGTTTTCACGTCGGTTTTGGATTGGTGACTGGCGATTTTAATGTGCGAAATAAACGATGTTCAATGTCATAACTTGTTGTTGCCTTTTTGTTGAACCATCCCTCGCGAAATTTTGCCTGAACTTCATTGTGAGCCCATTTTTGGGACCGACGAAATATTTCCAATATTGATTTGAATCATCTCTTCTCATACTCGGTATTATACTAAGTCATCCCATTCAAACATATGGAGACATCTAGAGAAATTTTGGGAAAGTGAAAGAGCTAGAGCCCACGGCTTAAGTTTTTTGAAGCAAGGTAGTGATGAGGCCTGCGATGCTATACTGAAGCGCTATACGGACTGTTGGCCCCTGACCAAGAATCACGGAAGGCAGGTTCACTTCGCGGAAATGAGGGTGCTGAGGTGGGCCTGCGATTGAACGTCACTGACAGGGCCAGACACGAGGAAGTCAAAAGGTCATGCAGACCATTTCTGTTCAGCTATAGGATGCGAAGATTCAAACACTGAAGAAAACGGTATGACAGCGTGCCAAGAGGTTGGACAATAATCGATAAAAAGTCATTGAAAAGCAAACCAGCAAGCAACCGTGAGGAACCACCAAGTAGTGATGGGAAAGACCATGAATCAAAAAGAAGACATACAAATGAAGTACAGGGTGCGGAAGTATGGGATAGCGCTTCGACCGCTTAAACTTTTTTTTGCATCGACCCATTACCAGTCATATCGCTTTTGGTCTAGAATCTGTCGTCACGCCTGTAAGGAAATCTCGGGAAAGCAAGCATTATTTAAAAAGGTTATCGACTCTTTCTACATGGTTTTGACTGGAGCAAATCGAATAGATTCGACTGATGAAACAACAAAAAGTTTCTGCACGAGCTCGGTGCCGCCGAATCTCCCTTCTAAATTGGTTAAAGGCATGCCCCAGGATCGCACTGGTGTGGCTCTTGCACACGAATGTGAATGTATCGGTGCCAAGTGGGCCGGCAGTGAAGAAAAAAGGAAAAGAATCCGTCGAAAACGCTCAGGTTGAGGGCTCACTCACCTTCCTAATTGGCTGTGCTAAAGGAACGAGAGACTAAGCGCGAAGAGGAGAGTATGGGGCGAGAGAGCGCATCAGATGAGAGAGCACCAGACAACGGCCTGATAAGAGAGCTCGTTCGCTGCAGCTCGAGCAGCTTACTTTGCAAGCCCAAAGCGTTCTTGTCGGTCGAATTCCGTGCACGTGAACGCCACATTTGTGATTGTCCCCTAGGGTTCTATACTTCTGACCGAAGAGAAGAGTTCACACGACCTCTGCCTGGGTTGTGCCTTTAAGAAAAACAATTCGAGTTAAAAACTTCCTTGCTCCACCAAACTCAGAGACCCTCCTGCCAAAAAAGTGGGAGCACTCCTGCGAGATAACGTATCAGGTTTTAAAAAAAAAAACAACAGTTTTTCTCCCAAAGGTGTGGTAGTTTATGATGGGGTAACATTCAAAGGTGCAGCTCCACTGGAGTCATTTTTCACGAATGTTGAAATGAATTTGAAGGTCTTGCAAAATTCTCTAATGAGGTGCAGTATGTTGTTCTAAACTTACGAGCACTTTGCTCAAGATCGTTCCTTAAAGGACGAATTCACGCTGGAAAGCAACCCATTTCAAATTAACCTAGGGATGGTGAGTGGTACACGAAAGAAGGAAGAACCATGAGAAACGGCCCAGAACCCGAGAAATGGGACCCCTTCCTTGCCCGCTGATTTGCGCATTGATGCGACTCTTATCGCTGTGCCCTCCTCAACATCACGCTCTCTCTGCTATCTAATCAATCCCACGTATAGATCTGCGGCGAGTGATCAGCTGGTCGGTGGGCGGAGATCGCCAGACCCGCCAACTTTGAGGCATAATAGGTCGCCGAGGTCAAATTTTTCGATGCGAATTGCGCATCAGTTCGCACCCTCAGGAGGTCCGTGGGTTACTCAACTAGGTGAATTACTTCTTCCTCGACCTCCATTCTAATCGTGAAATCCTCCTTTAAATGAAGGGTGGGCTCTCTAATACCAATCGACCAGAGCCACCCTGGGAGCTCAGTTTCCGGGCCACTGGAGCAAGTTATTTGCGACCTTCTCCCTCTCAGGCCCTTAACCCGATGGACTCCTCTATGTGAGGATGTTGTAGAGCAAGACCTCATAAGACTTCTCCAGCTCGGTGGGTGCTCTGAAGTTAGCGCTTCAGAAGAGGTGGGACGACATCGCCGTTGGCTACCTGCGGCGCACTGCTGATTTTGTCGTTGGACGTCAGAAGGCCTCTCTCAAAGCAGAGTCGTCAAATTCAAAGCACCTTCTGCACAAGTGATCAAGTAGCTTAACTCTATCTTTGTGTGAAGTCGGTTTCCTGATCGAGTCTCTTTCTTGGCTTTACACACAAACATGGCGTCCTATACTTTTCGGCCACGCTGTAATGCTCACAGCTGAGGATGCATCTGGACCGATTGAAACGAATTGGCGAGAAGAGAACGGACTCCCGCACAGCGGGAGTAATTTGAGAGAGGCGATTAGCAGCGCGAATCGGCCCTTATAACGCACGGTTTTCGAAACGTCAGTAAGGCCGAAAGAATATCCGAGACGGAGGCGTTGCGCTTGCACAATCAGCATCTTTGAAACAGACTGCGCTAAGGAGTATTCTAGCCGGTTATTATTATAGTAAGGAAATTGTTTGTGTGCCGTGCGTGTGACGAACACCGATTACGTCAAAAATAAACTATCGCCTCATGTTTATGGGCCCGTGCAGAGGGAATACTATCATTTTTCAGTGAGTAGACATCCGTCCGCCTCTGAACGTAGAGTATCCTTGACTGTTTTGTCTTCACGTGCTTTGGACACAGGCCGAAAGCAATGTTGCAGCTTCTGTTTTGCCCGATTTATTAATTCTATTACGTCCAATGTTTAGCTCTGATTTTCAGTTTCTCAGAACAAATATCCCTCGTTCGAAACTTACAAAGTTGTGAAGCATCCAGAGGTGTCTTCGAAGTGCGTCATGCGATTGCTTGCTATTCCGCATAGTGGCGGCACTGAATGCGACAAACGAACTGAAAAAACGCAACCGATCTTTAGTATAGTGCACTTTTTGAAAAAATTGAAATTTTTACTATCCGTGTGTGAAGAAGAATTGACCTTGTTAAAAAAATTTCACTGGACATTTTCTATAAATTTTTGGTGTCCAGGTGACTTTCGTTTGCGATGACTAGTGAATTCACAGTATGTCCTGCGCGGAAGTAAAAAAGCTACAAGGGAGGAGGGGGCTAAAAAGACACTTTGTCATTCGCACTTTGCGGCCCTCCTTCTTTTGGGGGGAGTTCCTCAGCAGAGTATTCCCTAAGTGTTCCTCTATTAGTGTACGCAGGCTCTCCTTCACTGCCCTCACCGTCTTCAGAATATGACGTCATCTGTCACCGTCGTCAGGCTCAAGGAGGTCTACCGTAAGAGCTTCAGCCTGAAGCTCTTACGCAATTTCGTGAATCGATTTAATGTTGGATAGTTTTCTAGAGATATAGCTCCCAAAATGCAAACCCCCTTCGTAGCTTGCAGTTACTGGAAGGCCAACCTTATATAGAACCTGTATAAGGTTGGGCTTCCACCTGTGACTTTGAATCACAACAGTTCCATCGCCTCCACTGCTGTTCTGTTCGAACTCGACAGGAAACTGACTATTACGGTAGGTGGCCCACCTTTGGATTGCGTGATGAGTTGTTTTGGTCTCGAACTTCAGTAGGGCTGCTAGGGCATTTGATCGGGTAGTCATAAATTGATTCGACTCTTTCAGGCTCTGAAGAAGGCGATCCTCGCCGAAACGTAAGCCCAATAAAAGTTATTTGCCAACCTCGTGAGGAGCTTCAAAGAAAATAACAACAAGCCACATTATGCCGAGGTTCATTCAAAGACGTGGAGTGCACCATGTTGCCAGGGCAAATTCTTCTGATGCCCGTCCACGAAGATGGCGTTATGAAGATTTTTGTATAGAGTGAAATGCGCTCACTTTCAACAGTTGAGTGGAACCATTTTGGTGAATTGAGCTATAAGTGTGATTAATCCTACCTCTAGAAGTGAGAGACAAAATGTCTTTTTTATCTCCGCCCCCCCCCCCGCCCTGTATAGGGGCGAAACTTACGTTAATCACATCCTCAAAGCGGAAGCTGTATATCTGTCGAATAACCCTACTGTCGTATTTTTGTCACGTAAGAGTACGAAGAAAGGAGGAGACATACTAGTACAAGGCAAAACTACATAGCCGAAGTTCAGAGACATTATTCAAAAAAGCGTAAACCAGCCCATATCCTCTCCTTTCCTCACTTTATAACCTTGACCAGAAAATTAGGAAATGATGACGTTCAAAACACTGGTGCAATCTTTGATAATTATTCTTATATCGATGCACGAAAGTTTCCATACGCTCAATTACTGATTTTCTATGTCGTGTTTCGCTATACTGTTGTTGTGTTGTTTTGGTTGTCAGATTTGCTACAGTACCGAAAAAAATAATAATTAAATTCAACCCAGGATATTTTATAGAGTGCAGCGCAATGCTCTTCGCAGCGTACACTTTGGTTAGTTAATCCTTCTACATTCTGCTCAAACACTTCAGTCCTTTTCTCTACAGTTTCTCTATTAATTATCCAGTATCTATTTCAGTGTTTTCTCGTCCGATTCACATATCAAAACGACCCAATATCAGGTTGTTTCTTTAGTCGCTTTCTATTTACATACTTTTATGCATGCTTGCAAAAGAGATGACGCTATAAATAGATTGCCTCTAGAAATTTTGTTGAGGTGGAAAGAGACAAAAACCTCGGGATGCGACCCAAAGAAAGTGAAATGAGAACCCTTTTCAGGTGTGTTCGTGAGAGACGGGGGCATCCCACAAGACTAAGCCCAGAAGGGGGAAGGAAGTTCGCGAAAATGGAAAATGTTAATTTGCCGCTCAGCTTCCCCTCCCGCTCAGAGCATAGGGTGCTATACAAGTAGGGTGGGCACGCCACATCTTTTGAACAGAAAATGTAGGTGGGACTGCTGCAATAGTGTCACGAGAATCGTGGAATTGGTGAGCCAGGGGAGTATAGCCCAATCTAGGGATCTAGTGGCGGTGGGGGAGGACAAAGTCACGTTGAACATGCGTGAAAAAGCTGGACCGCTGCCACACGCAACTTTGCATAGTTCCGATCTACAAGAATCTTTTAGGAAGGAAATGTTTTACGCGGCTTCAAATGCGTTGCCACCACATACCTTGCGATAGCGCCCCTTGATCCCCTTCTGACGCGGTGTTTGATGAGATTCCTCAAGAAATGACGCCATCACTATGAATCCCTTGCTCTGCCTTTCTCTCTACTCTATCTTTTACCGCGGCCGGCACCCGCTTACTGTCAACCAATCACTTGCCGATTTGGGCAACTTCGCGGAGGCCTTCACCACGATAGGCCGAACTGGGTACGCCCTAATCTTCGAAATTGTGCCGACCTCATCCCTCCGGGGTGTGGACTTTAGTAGAAGGCAATTTCCTCGTTCTTGAACGTCTGACTGATCGTATTCTGCCTTTTAAGGCAAGGTCTGAAATTCTGATCAGAACTTCGCCTTTCCCCGAAAAAATGCAGTGCGATGCAGGCGGGAAGCATGCACACAACTTCCGGGATGATTTGCCAAAGTCGAGCCACTAAGGTCCTAAGATGTAGCATTGGTCTCGCCTAACAGCATTGAGTCCGCCCACAAGTCAGTGTTATTTCGCTTCGCCACTGCTGGAGACGGGGGCTTTATTTTGGCCCTTGTCAGCTGTTTCTTCCCGTTTTTCATTATTGATCTTACACTTCACATCAATGCTATTACATGCAAGCACATTAAAACATCATTTTGGTCCCGGAATTTGCCTTTAAGCGGCCTGTCGCGTTTCCATCAACAGCGCCAAAAATTATTACTGTACATTCATAGTACACGATTTTGCGTAGTCTACCTCTTATTTGTATTAGCATTCTATCACTCCGAAGATAGCTATTATGACAGCGCCATTGGTAGACGCCTCTCACAGATGGAGAAACATGGGGAATGTTAGCTACAGTATAAACCCCTAAACTATGGGTCTGTTAGAATGCCTTACGGGAGTGATTAGTTAGCGCTATGAGGTTAGAGGGGCAATGGCCTAATGACTTTCTGCGTATTGTGTTTTTCTCTCTACAAGGGAGGTCTTTCAGGGCAAGCCGCGCTTTTTTGGAAACGGTTTCTTGCATATTGTAGGGACGCATGTATGGACCACAAAACCATGTTTCGTTTTCGCTGAACGGTTTTAGTAGTACCAAAAAAGTGGTGAATGATACCCTTGATGGTTCGATCCCCCGCGGCGACTAAATTTTGCAATCAAGGTTGGCGGCCACTTGTTGGCTTCAAAATGGTCCTGACGATGAATTTGACATCTGATTTTGACATTTAGCGCGATTTGGCACCAACCGTAGGCGCCAACCAATTTAGTCGCCACGGGGATCGAACCATTAACAGTACCTTATGCTTCTTTTTTGGTACTGCTAAGCGTTAAAGCGTTCAGCGAAAATGAAACATGGTTTTGTGTTCCCTACATGCATCCCTACAATATGCAAGAAACCGTTTTGAAAAAGGTGCTTGCCTGAAGACCTCCCTTGTCAATCAGAACCTCCTTCCACTGTTATCTGTTAAATCGCCTTCAGTCTGTTAAAGCTGCACCAGAGCAAAGGAAAAAGAAAGGGAATTCAGCAAAGTCAGAATGGAAGACAGAGACCGAAAAAGTGACAATATTTATGTTTAGAAGTGTGCGAAGAAAACGAGCTACTAACAGACTGTGGAGCCCGATGCGAGCCAACTTGTATCGAACCTACTCCTGTAAGTTTCTGAGAAAATTTGCTCTTTTTTGAAAGTGCGGAGGTGGAACTGTAGCATATGCCATCGTTTCCAAGCACATGTTTGAGAACTACATATTTCTTAGACCCGGCAGACCCCTTAACCTGCATTTCGAAGTGGCCACTCAGCACCAAATTCACCTAGTAGGATAGGAAAATTGACCAATTTCGGCTGAATTGCATGTTGCCCCTTCAAAGGCTTTGTGGCCTTGGACAGAAGTGGAATGTATGGCGTAATCGAGAAGGAAATTGATCTAGCGGAATGCTTTATCCTTTACCCTTTCACAGCATTACCTGCCTCCAATTTTCCCACTTTATCAGAAAGGTACATTACAGGAATGCGAAGGCGACTGCCTCGCAAATGTGTGCCGTTGTAAGCAAGGATTCATTCGGCGTGAACTAGGAGGGCCATGCATTGCTGGGTCATCATGTCCACCTGGTCGAAGTACTCGTTTTTATTTTCCTTTGATTTTGATTGTCTTACTTTCTTCTATTTCAGAACAAGTTCCGCCATCTTGCGACGGGATTGCGTGCCATGACGGGGCTCATTGTGAAGTGGTGGATTTACCTTGTGCGAATGGAACCTGTTCCCAACAGGCCATTTGTGTCGATGAATATGTAGTATAGTTTTAAAGTTACCTGAACTTAATTTCGGTGCTAATAAATAGTTAGTCAGTGATCTTGATTTCGTTTGATTGGAGGTTCCACGTTTGCGAAGTTTGCGAGTTTTGTGAAAAATACAGGAACGAATCTGCGTGAAGGATAGAGCGCAAAGTATTTGACGGTAACTCCACTGCAGAAACCGTTCCATTTGAAATCGCCACGTTACACGTGTGAGCAAGAACAAGTGCGGTAAGTGTGACAATTGGCCTCAAAACAAAACTCGCGATAAGCTGATACCGTTGAAATGTACGAATAGGTAGCAGATGGCGCGTTTATAAAAGCAAAACAAACAAAGTGGTCAACAAGAAACAGTCCTGTTCTTGTTGATTTTAAACTTCAGCCATTTATACACTTTTTGACCTCGGCCATTGGCGCCTTTGACATAACTTTTCTTTTGTCATCAACTACTGTACTAGTAATCGATGCATATCTTATCAATGCAATACTGTACTTTTAGTGAAGAAGAATCATTCTTAACAACGGGACAACAAGCTGTTGT